GTTGACGAGGGGTCGAGAGGTCCACTAATACTGGAACAGGATGGGGCGATCTACGACCTTGAACTGCTTCAGGATCACCCGTTTCTCAACCGCATCTCTGAGTGGGACTACCCAGTCTTCTCCCTCCTCGACACCGCTGGACAACTCATCCTCAGTCAGGTAAGGGTGGAAAGAAGGCAGGGTGAGGGAGAAAGGGTGTGAAGGAAGATGAGGAACAGGTAGGGTGGGGCGGGCAGAAACTAAAAACATGGGTGATGGGTAGGAAGGGAGTATATGGGTACGTCAAAATCATGCCTCTTCATTTATCCTATGACCATTGCTGCCTCTTATGCCCTGAAAATATTTCCCAGAGTCTCTGTGCTTCATCTGGGTGTCCTAACTTCTGTATGTTCCACCTGGGTGTCCTAACTTCTCTAATCCTCACATGGGTGTCCTAACTTCTCTAAGCCTCGCCTGGGTGTCCTAACTTCTCTAAGCCTCACCTGGGTGTCCTAACTCCTCTAAGCCTCACCTGGGTGTCCAAACTTCTCTGTCTCACCTGGGAGTCCTAACTTCTCTAAGCCTCACCTGGGTATCCTAACTTCTCTAAGCCTCACCTGGGTGTCCTAACTTCTCTAAGCCTCACCTGGGTGTCTTAACTTCTCTAAGCCTCACCTGGGTGTCCTAACTTCTCTAAGGATCACCTGGGTGCCCTAGCTTCTCTAAGCCTCGCCTGGGTGTCCTAACTTCTTTAAGCCTCACCTGGGTGTCCTAACTTCTCTAAGCCTCGCCTGGGTGTCCTAACTTCTCTAAGCCTCACCTGGGTGTCCTAACTTCTCTAAGCCTCGTCTGGGTGTCTTAACTTCTCTAAGCCTCGCCTGGGTGTCCTAACTTCTCTAAGCCTCACCTGGGTGTTCTAACTTCTCTAAGCCTCACCTGGGTGTCCTAACTTCTCTAAGCCTCACCTGGGTGTCCTAACTTCTCTAAGCCTCACCTGGGTGTCCTAACTTCTCTAAGCCTCACCTGGGTGTCCTAACTTCTCTAAACCACACCCGGGTGTCCTAACTTCTCTAAGCCTCACCTGGGTGTCCTAACTTCTCTAAGCTTCACCTGGGTGTCCTAACTTCTCCAAGCCTCACCTGGGTGTCCTAACTTCTCAAAGCCTCGCTTGGGTGTCCTAACTTCTCTAAGCCTCACCTGGGTGTCCTAACTTCTCTAAGCCTCACCTGGGTGTCCTAACTTCTGTAAGCCTCACCTGGGTGTCCTAACTTCTCTAAGCCTCACCTGGGTGTCCTAGCTTCTCTAAACCTCACCTGGGTGTCCTAACTTCTCTAAGCCTCGCCTGGGTGTCCTAACTTCTCTAAGCCTCACCTGGGTGCCTAACTTCTCTAAGCCTCACCTGGTGTCCTACTTCTCTAAGCCTCACCTGGGTGTCCTAACTTCTCTAAGCCTCACCTGGGTGTCCTAACTTCTCTAAGCCTCACCAGGGTGTCCTAACTTCTCTAAGCCTCACCTGGGTGTCCTAACTTCTCTAAGCCTCGTCCTGGGTGTCCCTAACTTCTCTAAGCCTCACCTGGGTATCCTAACTTCTCTAAGCCTCACCTGGGTGTCCTAACTTCTCTAAGCCTCACCTGGGTGTCCCTTAACTTCTCTAAGCCTGCACCCGGGTGTCCTAACTTCTCTAAGGCCTCACCTGGGTGCCCTACTTCTCTAAGCCTCCTGGGTGTCCTAACTTCTTAAGCCTTACCTGGGTGTCCTAACTTCTCTAAGCCTCCCTGCGGTGTCCTAACTTCTCTAAGCCTCACCTGGGTGTCCTAACTTCTCTAAGCCTCACCTGGGTGTCTAACTTCTCTAAGCCTCCCTGGGTGTTTCCCAATTTCTCTAAGCCTCACCTGGGTGTTCTAACTTCTCTAAGCCTCACCTGGGTGTCCTAACTTCTCTAAGCCTCACCTGGGTGTCCTAACTTCTCTAAGCCTCACCTGGGTGTCCTAACTTCTCTAAGCCTCACCTGGGTGTCCTAACTTCTCTAAGCCACACCGGGTGTCCTAACTTCTCTAAGCCTCACCTGGGTGTCCTAACTTCTCTAAGCCTTCACCTGGGTGTCCTAAACTTCTCTAAACCTCACCTGGGTGTCCTAACTTCTCTAAGCCTCGCCTGGGTGTCCTAACTTCTCTAAGCCTCGCCTGGGTGTCCTAACTTCTCTAAGCCTCACCTGGGTGTCCTAACTTCTGTAAGCCTCACCTGGGTGTCCTAACTTCTCTAAGCCTCACCTGGGTGTCCTAACTTCTCTAAGCTCACTGGGTGTCCTAACTTCTCTAAGCCTCGCCTGGGTGTCCTAACTTCTCTAAGCCTCACCTGGGTGTCCTAACTTCTCTAAGCCTTACCTGGGTATCCTAACTTCTCTAAGCCTCACCTGGGTGTCCTAACTTCTCTAAGCCTCACCTGGGTGTCCTAACTTCTCTAAGCCTCACCAGGGTGTACTAACTTCTCTAAGCCTCACCTGGGTGTTTCCCAACTTTCTCTAAGCCTCACCTGGGTGTCCTAACTTCTCTAAGCCTCACCTGGGTGTCCTAACTTCTCTAAGCCTCACCTGGGTGTCCTAACTTCTCTAAGCCTCACCTGGGTGTCCTAACTTCTCTAAGCCTCCCTGGGTGTCCTAACTTCTCTAAGCCTCACCTGGGTGTCCTAACTTCTCTAAGCCTCATCTGGGTGTCCTAACTTCTCTAAGCCTTACCTGGGTGTCCTAACTTCTCTAAGCCTCACCTGCGTGTCCTAACTTCTCTAAGCCTCACCTGGGTGTCCTAACTTCTCTAAGCCTCACCTGGGTGTTCTAACTTCTCTAATCCTCACTGGGTGTTCTAATTTCTCTAAGCCTCACCTGGGTGTCCTAACTTCTCTAAGCCTCACCTGGGTGTCCTAACTTCTCTAAGCCTCACCTGGGTGTCCTAACGTCTCTAAGCATCACCTGGGTGTCCTAACTTCTCTAAGCCTCACCTGGGTGTCCTAACTTCTCTAAGCCTCACCTGGGTGTCCTAACTTCTGTAAGCCTCACCTGGGTGTCCTAACTTCTCTAAGCCTCACCTGGGTGTCCTAGCTTCTCTAAACCTCACCTGGGTGTCCTAACTTCTCTAAGCCTCGCCTGGGTGTCCTAACTTCTCTAAGCCTCGCCTGGGTGTCCTAACTTCTCTAAGCCTCACCTGGTGTCCTAACTTCCTAAGCTCACCTGGGTGTCCTAACTTCTCTAAGCCTCACCTGGTGTCCTAACTTCTCTAAGCCTTGCCCGGGTGTCCTAACTTCTCTAAGCTCACCTGGGTGTCCTAACTTCTCTAAGCCTCATCTGGGTGTCCTAACTTCTCTAAGCCTTACCTGGGTGTCCTAACTTCTCTAAGCCTCACCTGCGTGTCCTAACTTCTCTAAGCCTCACCTGGGTGTCCTAACTTTTTCTAAGCCTCACCTGGGTGTCCTAACTTCTCTAAGCCTCACCTGGGTGTTCTAATTTCTCTAAGCCTCACCTGGGTGTCCTAACTTCTCTAAGCCTCACCTGGGTGTCCTAACTTCTCTAAGCCTCACCTGGGTGTCCTAACGTCTCTAAGCATCACCTGGGTGTCCTAACTTCTCTAAGCCCACCTGGGTGTCCTAAAATTCTCTTAAGCCTCACCGGTGTCCTAACTTCTCTAAGCCTCACCTGGGTGTCCTAACTTCTCTAAGCCTCACCTTGGTGTCCTAACTTCTCTAAGCCTCACCTGGGTGTCCTAACTTCTCTAAGCCTCACCTGGGTGTCCTAACTTCTCTAAGCCTCACCTGGGTGTTCTAACTTCTATAATCCTCACCTGGGTGTCCTAACTTCTCTAAGCCTCACTGGGTGTCCTAACTTCTCTAAGCCTCGCCTGGGTGTCCTAACTTCTCTAAGCCTCACCTGGGTGTCCTAACTTCTCTAAGCCTCACCTGGGTGTCCTAACTTCTCAAACCTCACCTGGGTGTCCTAACTTCTCTAAGCCTCACCTGGGTGTCCTAACTTCTCTAAGCCTCACCTGGGTGTCCTAACTTCTATAGTCCTCACCTGGGTGTCCTAGCTTCTATAATCCTCACCTGGGTGTCCTAACTTCTATAATCCTCACCTGGGTATCCTAGCTTCTACAATCCTCACCTGGGTGTCCTAACTTCTATAGTCCTCACCTGTGTGCTCTCCAGCTAATCCTCCTAATCAGTGCTTCACTGTAGCTAAGACAGTGGCAGGAATGATTGTTACACGAGCCTTAAACAGTGATTATCTGACTGTCTGTTGTAGAATACAATAGACAGGTCACGCACTTCACTAAATTTTATCGCTTGTGCGTAGTATTTGTAGACGTTGTGGTTATTTTTTTATTAATAGACGATTGTCTAAGCAAACCTTACCTAATCTAACCTAACCTAACCTAAACTAACCTAACAAAACCTAACCTAAACTAAGCCAACCTAACCCAACCTAACCTAACCTAACCTAACCTAACCTAACCTAACCTAATCTAACCTAACCTAACCTAACCTAACCTAACCTAACCTAACCTAACCTAACCTAACCTATCTAACCTAACCTAACCTAACCTAACCTAACCTAATCTAACCTAACCTAACCTAATCTAACCTAACCTAACCTAACCTAACCTAACCTAACCTAACCTAACCTAACCTAACCTAACCTAAACTAACCTAACCAAACTTAACCTAAACTAAGCCAACCTAACCCAACCTAGCCTAACCTGAATCTAACTTAAATTACGCAAATTGAAAAATCCGCTGAAAATATATAAGAAATCGACTTAGGATTTCGTAGTACGAAGTGTCACCGTCCATGTATTCCCTTCTTAGTGTTCTGTACGTGTGTGTTATAGAAGACTGTTGGTGGTGGTGAAGTGTTATTTTATCTACCTCATGTTTGATCTACCAGCTGGTTGTAAAACACACACACACAAACACACACACACACACCTACACACACACACACACACACTCGTGGAGGAGTCACGCGGTTTGAGCTCGTGTTTTGGTGATAATTTCTGACTGTGCCATAAGGAATAGAGTGTGGGATATAGGCGTGTGCACGCATGAGAGTGCATGTAATCACTTAAGCCCCGAAAAAAGGAAATATAAGTGATCACAGAAAAGAAAACAAAGGAAATATTGGCTGAGTGTTTAGT